TGCTGTTAAGTTGCTAGTATGAGATCTCTCCAATTTCTTTATGAAAGCACTCAGTGCTATCAATTTTCCTCAACACTGCTTTCATTGTGTCCTGTAAGTTTGGGTATGTTGTACCTTGATTTTCATTGAATTCTAGAAAGTCTTTGATTTCTTTCTTTATTTCTTCTTTGATTCAGTGGTCATTGAGTAGAGAGTTTTTCAATTTCTGTGTTTGTAGGCTTTCTGTTATTTCTGTTGTTGAAGTCCACCATTAATCCATAGTGATATGATAACATGCAGGGTGTTATTTTGATCTTCTTGTTTCTACTGAAGCTTGCTTTGTGACAGAGTATATGATCAGTTTTGGAGATGTTTCCATGAGGTGATGAGAAGAAAGTATATTCTTTTGTGATTGGGTGAAATGTTCTGTAGATATGTTAGATACATTTGATATGCAACATCTGTTAGTTTATTTCTCTGTTTATTTTCTGTTTTGATGAGCTGTCTTTTGGTGAGAGTAGCATGTTGAAGTCTCCTACTATTAATGTGTAGGGTTTGATGTGTGATTTAAACTTTAGTATTGTTTCTCTTATGAAATGTGGGTGCCCTTGCATTTGGGGCATAGATGTTCAGAATTGAGATATCTTCTTGGAGGACTTTTTTTCTTTTATGAATATGAAGTGTCCTTCTTCATCTCTTTTGATTACTTTTGGTTGTAAGTCTATTTTATTAGATATTAGAATGGCTACTCCATCTTGCTTCTTGGGTCTGCTTGCTTGGAAAACCTTTTCCCAGCTCTTTATTCTGAAGTAATGTCTATCTTTATTGCTGAGGTGTGTTTCTTGTATGTAGAAGAATGATGGATCCTGCTTATGTATCCACTCTGCTAACCTGTGTCTTTTTATTGGTGAATAGAATCCATTGATGTTGAGAGATATTAATGACCAATAATTGTTAGTTCCTGTTATTTTGATGTTGGTGATATTTGTGTGTGTGTGTGTGTGTGTGTGTGTGTGTGTGTGAGAGAGAGAGAGAGGGGGGGGGGGGGGAGGG